CGCCGCCGCCGCGCCGCTGGTGCCGGAGGGGGGGCCCAGCCACATGAGGGACTCAGATCGGCGCGGGCCCCTCTATTGGCCAGCCTGAGCGCCGCCGCCGCAGAGGCCCCAGCATCCTGGGGGCCTGCCGCCGCCGCGCCGTTGCGCCCAAGAGGGGACCAGCCGCGTGGTCGACCCAGAGGCGCCCCTAGCGGGCAGTGCCGTCGCCACGCAGCGGGCCCCGATGGCGCGCATTGCCCTCCGCGGCCTGCGGCCGCTGGGGGGGGGGGGGCAGCGCCGACCATCGGGGAAGAGCCTCGACACTGGAGAACGCGATGGCGCGGCACGAGGCAGGCCCGTTTCTCAACGTTGTCACCTACAACAGCAACGCCTGGGCAACGGCCCGCAAGTTCCTGGAATGGGCCAACGAGGGGCCTCGGGCTACCACGTTCGACATCGGGCTGTTCCAGGAGACGAGGCTGGCCCAGCAGGTGGGGCCACGTGCATGGGCGTACCAGGCCGGTTTCACTTCGACCTTTTCGTGCGCTGCCTCGACGGGCTTGGCCGACAACGCGACTTCGGGAGGAGTTGCAGCGTTGACCTCGGCCAGGTTTGGAGCGCCGGATGTGGTGCACGAGCTCGCGTCGGAAAGGATGTGCGCCAGGAGATTGGTTCTCTCGGATCGGGCGCAGCTCATGGCTATCTCAGTCTACGGCCACGCGCAGATTGGCCTCTCGGGGGAGAACCATACCTTTTTGGCTCAGCTCAGCGAGCTTGCCTCGTCGACACCCCTACCCGTGCTCATCGCTGGGGACTGGAACATCGATGCGGAAGTTTTGCGAGAGTCCAGGTGGTGCGAACACTTGGGAGTGACAATAGTACGGCCGCCTGGGCCAACATGCCACGACAAATGTCGATGCAGATGCCTGGAGTACCATGTCGATGAGGTTCGATATTGGCCCGACACGCCCACAGGACCCCACTCGTCGGTGCACCTCCGCCTGAAGGACCTTGCTGGGGCAGCGAAGGTGTGGAAGCGGATTTTCCCGAAGGCCTTTCCCTTGGCACGGACGGACGAGGAGAAGCGGATCTTCGTCACGCCTGAGGGAGGCCAGACATACGGCTTCGACTTGGACAGGCCTATGGAGGCCGCTGCCCAGTGGTTCGATGCGGCCGAGGCGGAGCTGGTCAAGCTGCATGGTCTTGGACAAGCAAAGGGGTTCGCAGGCAGGTCGTCGGGCTGCCAGATCCAGAAGGTCCCCCCTGCAGGCGGCCTGGGGGCAGGACCGCAACCAGCGCTGCTCGGTCCACACGCAGAACTGGCTCGCTGTCAGGGGGCTGGCGATGCTTTACATGCGTAGGGAGAAGGACCGTGAGCGCTTGCTGTCCAAGGCTGGCGCCTTTGGCCACCTGCTGCAAAGTGCCGAGGTAGAGCAGCTCAGAGGGTTCACTGTAGACTCTCTGTTTAGAAGCCTGCTAGCCTGTGATCAAAAGGCTGATGTTGTGAATTGGCTGCAGGCCGAAGTTTCTAAGCGCGTGTCCCAAGAGGCGGCTGAGGGGCGCCAGAAATGGAGGTCGCGGGCGCAGTCGTCTGTCGTTGGAGGGGGGCGGGTTGCTCACAGGTATTCGAAGGGCCCCTCGGCGCCTCCCCAGCCCGTGTTTGCTGAAGAGCAGGAAGGGGATTGTGTTCCCCTAGTAGGCGATGCAGCACTGCAGCGGACCCTTCAAGAGTGGTTGCCGATCTGGTGCAAAGATAATCGAGCTGGCGAGCCTCCGCCTTGGGACTGGAGGTGCGAAGATAGCTTGCCGCCGATTACCTCGGAGGAGGTCCTGGCGGCAGCCAAGTCGTTTCCCCCAGGCGCGGGCCTGGGGTGGGATTCTGTTCACCCCCAGCTCCTCCTGCAGGTCTCCCCCGCGCTCGTCAAGGCCTTCGCCGATATCCTCACGGCCTGGGGACGGGACCCTTCGGTGGGCCCGTTGCGGCTCGTCGTGATCGCGTTTCTTCCGAAACCGTCGGGGGGGGGGGGTCAGGCCTATCGGCCTCCCCCCCCTCTGGGCCCGAGTGTGGAGCAGGATTCGGCATGCCAGATGCGCGGCGTGGGAAAGGGAGCTGGACGCCCCCTTTTTCTGGGGGGATGAGCACGTCCACTGCTTGTGACAAGAGCGCTTGGGTTCACAATGCCATGGCTGCTTTTGCTCGGGAAACTAGAGGTTTAGTTTCGGGTACGTTGTTTCTCGACCTTCGCAAATTCTACGAGCATATCAGCCACGCCGAACTGCTAGCGGTAGCTGAGCAGGTGGCCTTTCCGAAGGCCCTCTTGAGGGCTCATTGCACGGTGTACCGTTCCCCGAGGCGGGTATCTTGGCAGGGGGCGATCTCCAGGATCGTCTCGCCGAATGGCTCCGTCATTGCTGGCTGTTCGGGGGCCACCTCGCTCGCTCGCCTGTTGCTCGTGTCGGTTTTGCGCAGAGTGGTTTCGACGTGCCCAGCGGTCACCCTGAAAAGTGCCATTGATGATGTTTCGTTTCAGTCCATCGGAGGCCAGGCCACGGTGTGCACTGAGCTTTCGTCGGCTTTCAACCTGGTCGCCCAAGATTTCCAGGCTAGGGGCCTCCCGATTGCCTGGAACAAGCTTGGGCTCCTGGCGTCGTCAGCCTCCCTGGCCAACCAGCTTGCATCGTGCTGCCAGCTCCCTGCAGAGGCCAGGGCATCTGTCCACCGCGACCTTGGAGGGGGCGCGACGGACGGGGCAAGGCGGCGAGTGTCGACCCACCAGGCCCGTTTCCTAGAGGCCCAGGCCAAGGTGACCAGGGTCCCCAGCCTCCGCGAGGCTGGTGCCCCGACGGGGGGAATTTTTCGGGCTGGGATTACCGCCGAGGCTCTCTGAGGGGCCAACATCCAGGGGCTGCCTGATGGAAAGCGGAAGAGTTTAAGAGTTGCGGCTGTCAAAGCCGAGGGGGGGCTGCCCAAAGGGTGCTCGCTCGGATTGGCTTCGATGTGTACGCGTGGGGGTTGGTCGCGAGATCCTTTGGTGCAAGTCTCTGCTGACGCGATCAAGACGTATGTTCAGATTCTAAAGGATGGCAGGCTGCCTGAGCGTGTCCTTTCAGTTTTGTTTGCGAAAGCCCAGGAGGTCGCCCAGAGGCCGAAACCCTGGACCCTGGTCAAGGACCCCGTGTCCGCACTGGTCTTAACCTGCCTGAGGATCGGGTTTGTCTTCCAGGGACCTTTCTTGGCGCAGGAGGCCCAGGGACAGGTGTGGGACCTGACTCAGGTCTCTCCCGCTTTCATGGCCAGGCGAGCGCGCCTTTCGGCGCGAAGGTTTTCGGACATTGCGGCCTTGGGCAAAATAGGATCAGGCAAGGCCTGGCGCGCAGAACTTTTTTGGCGACCGCTGAATGAGCTGCTGCATAGAAGAATTGACGGGGAGGACGAGGCGGTTGGGACGGGTGGTTCGTGGGGGGGTCAGAGAGCAGCGTGCGCTCAGAGGACTCCTGGGTTCTCACTGGTGCCAGCACAGACTCAGTGAGCATGATCCTGAGCTGGCGTCAGAATGCCTGATTTGTGGAGAGCGAGGCACATCGTTTCATCGCCATTTTCAGTGCCAGGCCAGGGCGGCCTGGCGCCGTGACAACCTTCCCGTGTGCGTGCAGCGTGCAGCCAGCAGAGTGTCAACCTGCAGCGTCGAGCTGCAAGAGCGTTTTTCCCGTGGTATCTTTCCTGACCCGTGCCAGCACCTGGCCAGGAAACCCTGGGGCCCGTCCGCGGAGTTTCGCGTTGAGGGCGGCCTGGCAGGGCCGCTCATGCTTTCCGAGGGGCATGTTTTCTGTGATGGTTCAGGCCGAGACGGACTGTTCCCGTCCTTGGCCCACCTCTGGCCTCAGTCTGGGGCTTCGGGAGGCCTCGAGGGGGCCAGGTTTAAGAAGGTTCCTGCTCACGCCTCGGCTCAGGATGTCAGAGACGGCCTTTTGTCTGTTTTCGAACGCACTGGCAACCGCGGTGCTGATAGGCTGGCCAAGTTGGGGGCCTCGCTTGCCCAGCATGATGAACGGGACACCCTCTTAGCTAAGGGCTGCCTTTTGCTGGCCCGAGAGGTGTTGCAGTTTATAACGCGTGCGGAAGTCTACTACAGTGAGCTCGGGGTCTACGACAATGTAGGTGCCCAGGGCCTGTCTTTGGTCTCCCTGGATCCCCCCTCGGATCGCGACGCTCGACTCGAGTGGGCTCGGGCCGAGGACGAGGCAGCTGCGCCCCCCCCTTGCGGTGAGGTCCCGATGGCCCCCGACCCTGCGGCTGCCGCCTCGCTGGAGAGATTCCTGGACAGGGCGCCCGAAGGCACGCAGCCGTGGAAGGAGGGGGGCCACTGCCTGCTTGAGCTTCCTGTGGAGCCAACGGAGGAGGGAGAGGACCCCCCCCCTCCTCTTTTGCTCCACCTGTGGCAGCTATGCAACTGTGGCCACAGGTTCCAGGGGCTTGCACGCTGGATGCCAGGGCTCGGCTCACTCGCTGGTCGGCCCTGGCAAAAAGAACACGTCGAGTTTTGTAAAGTTCAAGCACCCGAATCGGGCGCGGCGGCTGGGACCCCCGAGATCTCCTGGGGCCCTGGCTCGTGAGCTTTTCGGTTCTCGTTTCCTGGTCGGAGGTTGGGGGTCCCAGCCGACGAGTAGGGCTTCGAGGGCCCAGCAGTTTTCGGGAGCCGCCTCTCTCTGCATGGCTGACTGTCTCCAGGCCTTCGGGCTCAATGAGGCGGAGGCCCGTGAGCTTGGAAGGGGGTTGCGTGTCCGACCTGCTGCGGTCGAGCTCGACGATGATTTTACCTAGGGGGGCCCTGTCGCTGGCCCACGGTGCGCTGCCTGTCCGAGCCGCACCGTGGTGACAAAAAGGTCCTCTCCGATGGGCCCCCTTGGGTGTTTTTGGACCCTCTCTCTCTCTTTTCCCCCCCGATGGGCGTGCAATCCTCCTCCTCCCCTCCCCTACTCCCTCCTCCTCCGATGGCCCCCCTCCCCTGCTCCCCACTTGCTCCCTCCTTCCACCCCTGCCTCTGCTCTGGCTGCGATGCACGGCCAATGCGGCTTCTGTTTCCGCGGCTGCCGTGCCCTGCGGCCTGGACGCGTGTAGGACCAGGGTCATGGGTTGCGAAGGGTGCCCCTGGCCCAAGGTCCCCCCACCTTCTCGCTCCCCTCTGGAACCCACCTGTGCCCTCCTGGACCTCGTGAGGAGTTCTCTGGGGGCCGCTTGGGCCTCGGGAGTCCCTGGGGGCACCTTGGGCCAGGGGTCACTTCTGGCAACACCCGCCAGGGCTTAGTCGACACTGGCCGGCTCCCCGTGGGCCGTCTTCCACGGCGCGCGTTCTCCTCTCCCCCCCCCCCTTCCCTTTCCCTCTGGCGAAGGCGGGCGGCTCGGCGGAACCACAGAAAGATGACGAGGAACTCCAGGGGAATGGACTTGTTGACAGGGTCCACGGCGGAGGGGGTAGGGGACGGGCTCAGGGGGACAGCTCCGAAGTGCTCCTGCGTGCTCGGCAGCTCTCTGCGGCTCCTCCCAGCCTGGGGATCCGTTCCAGCAGCTGCGCCTCGTCGGGGGCCTTCAGGGGTGCCGGCCTCGTCCCGCACGGCCGCTGCAGAGCTGGCTGATGGCCCTGAGGCCAAGGGTCACCACCCACCAAACCACCCCAACCCAACCCGAAGGCTCAGATTTACCCTCGATTTCTAGTGGGGGGGGGGTCGGGAAACATCGAAAAAACACGCGTGGAACCCTAACCCCCCCCCCCAACCCGAAATTCGGGTCTTCGGGTTGGGTTGGGGTGGTCTGGTAGGTAGTCAAAGGGGGCAGCGTCGGGGGAGGACAGGCCGAGGGGGTGACGCATCGGCCCCCGACCGCCGATCGGCCCGCCCCGCCCGGGCGCGCGCGGCCGTGCATGGATTGGCTGTCGGGGGTCTGCTCTCGATCTGTCGTGAAGTCGGGCCTGTCCTTCTTCAGAGCGTGACTTACCTACGGAAGGTTCGCGTCGTGTCGACCGGCGGCGACCCCGCCGCCGGCGTTCAAGGTTGAACGCCGGCGGCGGCCTGGAATCGCTCCAAGTTGAACGGTCTGCCGTTTGGGAAACGGCCGATCGTTCAAGGTTGAACGATCCACGCGGGGTCGGGAACCAGCGCCGGGGTCGACACGGCGCGGACCCGCCGTACCCCGCTTTCGCTTCCAGGCGAAGCCAAGTCGTACCATACGCCTCCTCGTCGAGCGGCCTGACCAGTACATGCCGTAGCTTGGCATCGCTTGGTATCTCTTGGAAGCGAGGGTGGTCAAAAGCGAGGTGGGTTTGTTTGCCCCCAACTTCTGCAGGGGGAATAATCAAAAATAGTTAAAGAGATTGTCCGTGGACGATGGTTTGACCATGTTTCATGACTTTCGGTGTTTCTGTTTCCCGCTATTTTTCATTGTTCGTCAAAATCCGCCTGTAGGGTGACAGGCCCGACCTCAATATATTGGCGATGCATCGCCGACTCCAGGTTCTTGCCTTCCACTGCCGAGCTGGTCTCCCTCCCTGACGTTTCCCCCTGTATGGGAGAAGGTGCATCACCGAGCGCGTTCCGCTACTTGCAGAGTTCCCACTCTACTCGTAAACGTCCGAGCAATTAACAGGTACTCCTGTATGTAAGGGATCGTAGATCCCCCTCGGCGGATCCTGACACGTTGCGAGTTGTCAATGTGCGAGTGGAGGAACGCGCTTGTCTAGTACAGTGGAAGCCCATGCCAAAAAACACCCTGCTTGCCTCCAGGGTGCCCTTGGTTTCTTGGGTTTCGATGGTTTTCCTATGGCAAACGTGACGTTCCCATACCAATTATCAAAGGACGTCTTGTGGTCTCAGAGTTGGGTTTCTTGTGGAAAGTTTCTTGTGGTCGAGCTCCTACTGTATAGCTGTCAGAAGAAGGGGGAGGGCCTGCAGGAGGAGGAGGAGGGGCCACGTCCAGGAGCGAAGGAGGGGGCCCCAGCTCACACGAGCAACGAGCGGGCCAGGCGGACGAGCGGGCTGGATAGGGGTCGAGCAGAGGATCGACTGCAGAATTGTACATGAATTCTGCAGTCGATCCCCTCCTCGAGGGGACAGGGGGAGGAGGGGTCACGAAATCTGCTCTTCGTGCAGCCGGTTGCCGCCCCGCCGCCCGGCCCACTCCCCGACACGGGGGCGCCTGCTGGCGCCAAGAGGCGCCAGGGATTCCGGCCACGTGCGCCGAGGCCCTGCCCTGCCCTCGTCTATGCTGCCTTTGCGTGTACCCCCCGCGGCGGAGCCAGGCCACCTGCGAGCAGTCTCTTCGCGGGCAGTGGAGCCAGGGGCGAGGTCGTGGGATCGGGGTCGCGCAGAAGAGCGGGCGAGCCTCTTGCTCCTCCTGCTCCTCTTGCTGCTTCTCGTCCTTCTCTTCCGTTTCCTCCTCCTTCTCCATCTCCATCTCCATCTCTTTCTCTCTCGCTCCTTCTCCTGCTCCTGCTCCTCCTCTTCTGCTTCCTCCTCCTCCTCTCCACCATCTCCCTCGGCCTCCGCCTCCTCCTCCTCCCGTTCCTCCTCCTTCTCCTCCTTCCTCCTCCTCCTATTCCCACTCATCTTCATCCATTTCTTGCATTCTCCTCCTCTTCCTCCTCCTCTTCCTCCTCCTCCTCCTCCTCCTCCTCCATCTCTCTATCCTCCTCCTCCTCCTGCTCCTCCTCCTCATCTTCCTTATCCTCTTCCTCCTCCTCTTCTCCTTCTCCTCCTGCTCATTCTTTTCTTCCTCCTCCTCAATTTTCCTCGCCTCCTCTTTCTCCTTCACCTCCTTTTTTTCCCCCCCTCCCCCTCCCCCTCCTTCTTCACCACCCCCTCGATCTTCCTCCTCCATCTCTTTCCTTCTCCTCCTCATCCATCTCTCTCCCCCTTCTTCTTCTCTTCCTTTTCCTCCTCGTTCTCCTGCTTCTCCTCCTCCTCCTCCTCCTCCTCCTCCTCCTACATCACCCTCCTCCTATTCCTCCTCCTGCTCCTCCGGTTGCTTCTCCTCCTCCTCTTCCTCCCCCGCCTGCTCCTCCTCCTCATCCTGCGATTCCTCCTTCCCTTCCTCCTACATATCTCCTCCTCCTACTCTCCTCCTCCTCCTCCTCCTCCTCCTCCTCCCTCCTCCTCCTCCTCCTCCTCTCTCTCCTCCTCAGTCCTCCTCCATCCCTCTCCCATTTCTCCGCCACCTCCTCCTCCTCCTCCTCCTTCTCCTCCTCCTCCTCATCCTCTCTCTCCCTCCTCCTCCTCCTGCCCTCTTCCTCCTCTCCTCCTCCTCAGCATCATCCTCCTCCTCCTCTTCCATCTTCCTCCACCTCCTCTCCATATATGTCCTCATCCTCCTTCTCCTCCTCCTCCTCCTCCGCCGTCTCTCTCCTTCTCCTCCTGCTCCTCCTCCCCTCCTCCTCCTCCTCTCCTCCTCCTCCTCCTCTTCCTCCTCCTTCTCTTCCTCCTCCTTCTTCTCCTCCTCCTCCTCCTCCTCCTCCTCCTCCCTCTCCCCTCCTTCCTGCTCCTTCTCCTCCTCCTGCTCCTCCTGCTGCTTCTCGTCCTCCTCCTCCATCTGTTTCCTCCATCTCTCTCTTGCTCCTCCTCCTCCTCCTTCTCCTCTTCCTCCTATTCTCCTCCTATTCCTCCTCCTCCTTCTCCTCCTCCTCCTCCTCCTCCTCCTCCTCCTCCTCTCTCCTCTCTCCAGAACTCCGCGCGGATCTCTTGGCTCGGCGCCAGTGCCCCCCGCCCACGTCAGCGTCGACGACGACGACAGCGGCGGCGGCGGCGACGTTGACGACGACGACAACGACGATGACGGCTGCGACGACGACGACGACGACGGCGGTGGCGATGGCCAGTGAGCGCCTCAGATGCAGTCAAGACGATGAACTAAGGACCATTTCGACCAAGTCGGCGGGGAGGGGGGCGGGGGCCATTGACGGCCACTCCCCCTGGTGGTCCTCCTGTGGCTCCTCTTGGAGGCCTCCCGGGGCGTGTTGGGAGCCCCTCGGGAGTTGTCTCGAGGCTATCGCGTCCCTCTTGGAACCAATATCGGCCTTTCGTGGAGGCGCAGGGCCAACAGCATGTCCGACTTGGACGCGATCTTGGCCATCATGGACCGGGGGTGGACAGACCTCCTACCCTGACATGTCGATTAGTGAATTGTCCTTTTTCGGTTCTCGAGAGGGCGCCGCGGCCGTCATTTTCCAGGCTTGCGCCCGCCAGGTTTGGGCCCGAGGTCGTTTTCACTAAACCACGTTTTACTAAAGGGAGGTCTGTCCATCCCCGAATGGAAGCCCTCTCGGGCCAGGTTGGCCTTCTTGGAACACGCTGGCAGAAAACGCCGTGGCGGTGGGGGGGGCAGGGGGGCGTGGGCCGCGGGCGGTCAAATTTAAGTCGGGCCTGTCCCTCTACAGGAGGAGTAGTCAAACATGGTAAGACAATCGTTTGGGGGCGATCGTTTGACTACAGTTGTTTTTTTTTGGCGCATGTCTTGACTATGTTTTGGATGTCGTCCAAGATTCCAATGTCGGGGGACAGGCCCGACCTAACCCTGATTATGCTCCTTCGTAACAGTCCCCGCTGGGAAAGCCCAAGACGCGGGCAGTTTGTCCAGACGAGCGGGTGGTTGTTGGGCTTGATGCGGCGGGGGGCCTTAGTTAAAGTGCTGACGCTGCACCAAGGACCATCTCGGGTGCAGGAGGGGCTCTGGTTCTCGGCCCCTCCTTGGATCTAGGCTGGGGAAGCCATTCGGAGCCGAGGCTCGCCGTGGCCAGAACAGCCGCTTCGTTCCTTAGGCAGCGCCTCTCGAGGCAGCGCGATGACTTTGTTCAATAGGCCCAGGCTTGCGGTACTCTTCGGACCCCCCCCGGCACGCCTAGCTATGAAGTCGTGACTAGCTTGTAACGAGGAGGGCGGGCTCTCCGACGACGACGCTTGGGCTTTCCTTGCAGCCCCTCTGCTTACACCCCACTGCGGCCAATTCGAACATCGCAGCGAGTCCCATTGTCCAGGGTCGTTGATTTCTTCCCACGTGCAGCGTTGTTGTCATGTAAGGTGTTTTTTTCTCTCTTTCTCTTCGTATCATTACTGGTATTGTTTTATTAGTATTATTGTGTTAGTTGTAGTAGTGCTAGGTTTTATTAGTATTGATATTATTATTGTTGTTGATTTCTTTGTTTTCTTACGATGCTGCATCTCACTCCTCCTCCCCTCTCCCCATCTCTCCCGCCTTTCCTCCTTTTAGCCCCTATCGTTACGTTGGAGGGTCTTTTGGTAGCGAAGCCGTGGCATCAACAGAAGGGTACAGCCGACTCAGGCGCAATCGCCAGCAAGCTAGACCTGGGCGAGCGCCGCTGAACAGAAAAGGGCAGAGAGAAGATGCTCAGGGCACACCCCGCAGATTTGGTTGACAGCACATCGGTGAGCGGTGCTGCAGCTAGCCCCCCCCTTCTTCTCCTCCTCCCCCTCCTCCCGTTTCTCCTCCTCCTCCTCCTCCTCCTCCTCCCTCTCCTCCTCCTCCTCCCCCATCCTCCCCTCCTCCTCCTCCTCCTCCCCCTCCTCCGCCTCCTCCTCCTCCTCTCTCCTCCTCCCTCCCCCTCCTCCTCCTCCTCCTCCTCCTCCTCCTCCTCCTCCTCCTCCTCCCTCCTCCTCCTCCTCCTCTCTCCTCCTCCTCCTCCGTGCGCCCGCCTGGCCAGAGAGGGGGGTGATGGAGGCGACAATTCCGGGATGGACAGAACCCCCACCCTGACACGTCGATTGGACAAGGAGAGGCAGGAGGAGGAGGAGGAGGAGGAGGAGGAGGAGGAGGGGGAGGAGGAGGAGGAGTTGGAGAGTTGGAGGAGGAGGAGAGGAGGAGGAGGAGGGAGGAGAGGAGGGGGAGGGGGAGGGGGAGGGGAGGAGGAGAGGAGGAGGAGGGAGGAGGAGGAGGAGGAGGAGGCGGAGGAGGAGGAGGAGAGGAGGAGGAGGAGGGGGAGGGGGAGGGGGAGGAGGCTGGGCAGGACGGGAAAACGCAGCGTTTCGGGCGGGTGGTAATGGGGGGTGACCTGCATGTGGGTCGGGGATGGACAGAACCCTCACCCTGACACGTCGATCAGTGAATTGTCCGTTTTCGGTTCTCGAGAGGGCGCCGCAGCCGTCACTTTCCAGGCTTGCGCCCGCCAGGTCTTGGCCCGAGGTCGAGTCCACCAAACCACGTTTTGCTAAAGGAGGTGCTGTCCATTCCCGACTAATGATGCTCAAGAGGGGTCAGGATGTTGTGAATCCGATGAGGTCAAGTGGGGACCAAGCGCTGTTGCACCCTCGCCCCCTCTCCCCCTTCTCATCCCTTCCTTCTGTCCCACGTCGTCGTCGTCCTCCTCCTCCTCCTCCTCCTCCTCCTCCTCCTCCTCTGCTCCTTGTTTTCCACAGGGCGGAGCAGGTGCGAATGCCCACTCTTGCAGGGCCCGTTGCATGGGAGACTAGCTAGCCAATGTGCTATGCCCCAGTTGCGCTGATCTAAGGCACCAGCGAGCTTTTGTTGTGTCTCACCTGGGACCGGGAGGGAGATGCGGGACAGGTCGGGGGGGCCCAAACGGTGCGGTGACCACGCCATGTGGTGAGTCAAGGGGGATTCGGGGTGGCCGCACGGTTCTGGGGCTTGGGTCGTTCTCCGGAGATGTCGCGGGCGATTGGGGTCTCCGAGGCTTCACAATTGTACGGTGACGGACCGTGCGGCGAGGTCTATTGTGATTTCGGGGTCACCGCACGGTTTGTCACCGCACCACGGATTTGACGGATTGGCGGATTGCCGGATTGGACGGCCTGTGATGGCAGTCAGTCCCGGTACACGCAATTGTAAGTAAGGCAGCGTTTGCGGGTGGAGGAAATTTCAGCATCTTGCCAAGCGGTAAGACAATCAAATGCATCTAGCCAATTATACAGGGAACCATTGGCTTTGCCGCTGGACTGGGTCTTCTCTATACCTCGTGTGTGGGCGTGCCTAACCGGCTCCGTGTGGGGTTCTGTGGGCCTCCTCGGGAAGCTCCGTGAGCCTCTGTGGTTTCTGTGTGAGGCGGCCTCCGTGCGCCTTTGGGGGGCATCTTCGGGACCCCGTCGGGGACATCTCGGGCCGTCTTGAGGACATCTTGGAGCCTTTTGCTTCGGGTCTCTGGGGGACACCTTGGGGGCACCGGCGCATCTCAAAAGAGCATAGCCTGTTTGGGTGTCAGGGGGGCCGAGTGTGAAGAGGAGCATCCTAACGCGTCGGCACCGTGCACAATGGCACGGCGGCGGATGCGTGCCCATCGGAGGAGACGAGGGGACACGGTTCTTTCCGTTGTGGCCGATCGTCCGCGTTTTTCTTCCGCACTCGCCTCCTTTCGTCCAACTTGTTTGTTTGGGGGCCGCGATGACAACATAACGAACAGCAAGACAAAACATTGTCAGGATGCGCGCGCGGTTTGGGGCCCCGTTTCCCCGCGCGCGAGGCGACGCGCGTGGGTCCGCTAAGAGTCGAGTAGGGGATCGACTACAAAGTAAATGTACCTCAAACTTGGCTTTCCCGCCCCATCTACCCCAAAAAGCGTAGAACCTTCCGTGCATCGACGGAGCAGCCCGCGCGTGTGTTCGCAAATTCGGCGGGAACATCAACTGTGGGGTAAGTCATTCCTGGAGTCCATCCCCTGCACGAAGGCCCCCGCTCGAGTCGGCCAGGCCGTGCCGGAGAGCCAAGCAGGGCGCCGGAGGCAGAGGGCGGGGGCTGGTGCGGGTGGGGGGAGGCTGGCAGGCCGTGGCGGGAAGTCAGGGAGGTCATGGTTGTCCTGCAGACCTGCGGGTAATTCGCCCCGGACGCCCACAGACCAGAAACATCGTTCGAGTCTTTGTTGATGGGCGTGTTTTCCACCACCACCACCATGAGTTGGAGAGGGGGGGTCCTTCTCCTCCTCCTCCTCCTTCTCCTCCTCCTCCTCCCTCCAACTTATGGTGGTGGTGGTGGAAAACATGCTCACCATTTGTGAGGATCAGGCTGCTAAGGCAAAAGCAGCTGCGAGCGACACGATGTGGAGCGACCCGCCCACGGAAACGCCACGACGTTCCCACCACCTGTCGCACCACACAGGTAGTGGCCGCCCGTTCGCGCCGGGTATGACGGCGAGGCCTTTTGTCCTTGTAAGCGCGTCGCACCACTCGAGTGGAGCACTGAATGCAACCGCACATTATTTCACCATCCTCGGCTCCGACCAAGGCTGTTAGCAACATTGCGGTTGTCCCCAACTTCGACATGGCGTTTGTCCCTGCGCAGGAGCGAGTAAGGCACCTCCGCAGCTCTCATCGAACAGGATATCCATCTTTACGTTTTGGGGCAGCACCCTCATGTTCTTCGTGGTCGCCCTTCTGTGTTTCACTGGCGTGATGCCTGGTGGAACCGGCCCACGGGGCGGCGGAGGCGGCCGTGGAGGGACTACCTCCCGCCAACCGCCCCCATTGTCACCCCGAGCGCGGGTCAGTGCATTCGTTTCGTCACTGGCTGCAGGACTTGCTCGCCTGAAGCGTGTTCGCCACCAACACGGATAGCGCCCAACGTGCGCAGCCGTCATCCTCCATTTCGGTGGAACCGCTTGCGAGCTCACGCGCTCCATGGGCTCCACGGAGGGGACGGAGGGACGGCCAGCACGAGGACGCCCTGACCTACCTCATCGCCAACCTTGCCAATCAGTTCGATCCACTGGGTGAGGAGTCGCGCCTTCAGGCTACATGCGAGCTTTTCGAGTTCTCGAGGCGCCGCAACGGGATCACCGATGCGCTGCTCTCGCGGCTGCTCACGTTGCGATTCCGAGCTACGCACAACGGTGAGGCTGCAATGTCCTGAGGTTGCTACAGCTGGCTGCTGCCCAACTCATGTCGCTGCTCTAGTCCTACGGTGACCGATACCTTGCCACGGCGTCTGAGTTCATCAGTCTCACGACGATGCTCAGACTCGTGGGTCGCATCGTGGAGCATGTGCCAAACGACATCGCCAGCGCCCTTCGTTCGCCGCCACGGTTCGGAGGCTTCGTGGGCATGGCCAACGAGAACAGTCAAGGCACGCCCACAAGGGACCACTGGCACACTTAGGGTCTCGACCGACCCCTTGGCAGCCAGTGCCGCCGAGCTCCCTGGTGCCAGAGGTGCCGTGGCGTACGCCACCGGCCCCGCGCTGAACGCCATGCCGCCACAGACAGCATATCTTTCCGCCGCCTGGGCGCCCGCGCCGGGGGCCGACCACGTAGGCGGAACCCTTTCGGACACCAGCTCGGATCTAGGCGAGGAGGTCAACCACCAAGCCGCAGAGTTCAAGGCTTGAGCCCTGGTCAGATAGTTGCCCAGCTGTTTCGCAGATGCAATCGGCGAAGCGCCAATAGCGCAGACGTGCGCGCCGTCCTACGCGCAAGGCGCGTCGATTTACCAAGACACGCAGCAACACCTCTCCTAGCAAAGGCAAGGGCGAAGGCAAAGGTGCCCAGAACATTGTTTTTGTTCCGATGACGTTTTTTTTTTTGTGAAAAGAACAGAGTGCAGGCAAGCGCGCGCCAGGCAAGGGGTATGGCTTGCGCTGCAGTCCCCGAGGGTACGGCGGTGCCACCATAACATGTAGTTTGTGTGGGAGCGAATCGCACTTCCGTGCAGGGTGCCCCCCAAAACACCTCATCACAACCACAGGGCAACGGCAGCGACGGTCAGCTCGGAGGGCCCACGGATTCAGGACCCGTATACGGCACCATGGACCGAGGGTGTTTGGCCGGTATATTAGAAGTTGTTTTCGTGATCATTTAAAGACCTTTTTGGCTATAGAAGGGCCGTGTGGGGCCCTCTTTGAGGGCCTCTTGAGGCTTACTGTGGGCCCGGGCTTTATCCTCATCGCCCACCAAACCACCCCAACCCATTCCGAAGGCCCCATTTTGCCCTCCATTCCCGGGGGGGTGGCACCCCCCCAATCTGAAACTTGGGACTTCGGGTTGGGTTGGGGTGGTCTGGCAGGTAGTCATATCTTTGTCCGATGTTATCCTCGTCCTGGCTTCGTCTTTCTAGGTCTCCTGGATGGGGTCGGAGTAGATGGGGTCGGAGGATCGCGCCGCATCGCCGATGCATCGGCGATGCGGCTCGATGTGGCGCCCAATTTCCTCTCCACGCCGACGTCGCCGATGCATCGCCGACGTCGCCAGTGCATGGCCGATGCATTGCCGATGGACCGCCGATGCGGCAAGATCCTCGGACCCCGTCTGGGAGGCCCCTGGTCCTGGCAGGGCTCGAGCTAAGCGGTGTTTGAGCAATTTCGTGCACCGTTCTCGTTTTGATTTCGTTGTGTAGCAAATGTGGAACGAAGACAGAGCTACGAGTGACGAAAACAAAACGAAAACGGAAAACATTGTGTAACTCGAGCCCTGGGCCTTGGGGGAGGGAGGAGCGCACCGGCCAGCAGCCCGTCGGAAACCATCACACACGTGAGGCCGCGGGCCGCGCGCGCTTGCCCGCCTCGAGAGCGGCGCGTGTGCCGCGCGGCCCGTGGCCGGCCCCCGTGCTAGAAGTGCGAGCTGGCTGCCGCCCTGCTTGGCGAGGCTCGCGGGGGGCGCAAAAGGCGCCTCTCTCGGGCCGGACGAAAGGGGGGGATTGGGAAAGGGGGGGATGCGAAATCTGCTGCATGCAGCTGGTTCCGGCCCAGCCGCCGGGCCCATTCCTCGATACATGGGCGCCTCCCGGCGCCGGGAGGCGCCGGGAAAATCGGCTACGTGAGCTGATTCTCAAACCCCCCCTTTGCCATCCCCCCCTTTCGCCCGACCCGATTCTCTCGGGGAGGCGCGAGATTCGAGGAAGCGGGCACTCGGGTGGGCCGAGTTTTTTTTCACGAGCGCGTCCTGGATTTTGATGTGGTCCGGTCTTCGTGGGATGTTTGCAGCGGGGGGTCGCGTCAAATATCATATTGGGTCTCGTCATTTTCATGATGGCCCCGTCAGGCCGACCCGAGTCCCCCGCACCCGAATCTTACGTATCCCGGAGATTTGCTAAGGGTCAGGGGCGACGTCGGGTGGTGTGGTGTATATTTTGTTTGCCCGTGTTCCCAGGGAAACAACAGAACATGTAATTATGCACCAGGATCCCGCAATTATGCACCAGGATCCGCTTTTTTGTGCGAGCTTTATTGCCGGGACGCACGGAAAAAAAACGTCGGTATGAAGAGTTCGGCTCCTCACTTGAAGGTAGCGAGTCCTGAGGTTTTTCGGCCGCTTTCGGGCCCCCAAGGATCGCCGGGGGAGCACAAAACGCGCGTCGTCGATGTTTTTGTTCAATCCAGGCGTCTTTCCTCGACTTCGGCCTCCCAGGGCCCGTCGGCGTGGGCCAGCATAAATGCATCCCGGGGGGGAGAATTTGTTTACACTCCGCGAGTCCCCACAAGCCCATGCAGGAGCCCTGCCCTTGAGAGCTGACGGGAAGAGAGACAAAGAGACACATCTAGTGAAACAGGGCGTGCAAGAAGAGCAACGAGAACGCCATTAGCAGTCCATAAAAAAGACAGCCAGCCACATCATTCAACTTTCCACCTATTCCAACAACTTCACGACCTTCACGAACACAGAGCGGCTT